GTAATTGTATTTATGGCATATAAAAAGTGGTTGCAATTACCTTTGCAACCACTTTTGCAACCATACTTTTTCCTTTTGTGGATTACAGCACTAGTCTTTATTTGATTCTGTGTTTTAATTAGCTGTGCTAATTCATATAAATCTTTATCATCTTTAGCAGCATAATGTATTTTTAATAATTGAATATTTTTAGAGATATTTGTTAATTTGTCAAAAAATTCACCATTATAAGAACCATTCCAATGTATTTCGTAAAGGTTCTGAAACAATCATCAAATCTATAATAATTAATTAAAAAATTATAATCTAAATAACTAGTGCTAAGCTTTCTAATACCTAATGAATGATCTAAAATAAAGTCTATTAATTTATTTTGTAAAGGAATTATTATCTGGTTTCTAATATCATAACTGATGGAAATTATATTATAATGGTGGTTTCCCTCATAGTTTAAAATCTAATTTAGTACTGGCTAAGGAATCCTTATCTTCTTCCAATAAGCAATTAATTAATATTTTAGTGCTGTTAAGAGAATAAAATAGATTTCTCCATAAGGTTGGAATACTGACATTGTGCCATTGTTTGTTGACAAGAGTACAAGAATATATTGTTTTGTAATCATTTACAATATATTTGAATATTTCAATTAGAAGTTCCGGTGGCAAACTTCTTTTTTTCTGAGATGGAACAACTCTAAATGAAAAAATTTATTATTAATTTATTTTGAATATTAAAACTAGAGTGACGACAAGTGGCGGGCGACAACCACCACCACCATTCTTTTGATACTTACCCAGAAATTTCTCCTTGATTATTTCCTCGATTCCTCTTTCTTGATTCTTTACGTGTCATTTTGTTATTAAAAAGAATCGTGTAAGCAAAATAAAAAAAAACTATATTATTATTATTGGCACTTGGTGTTGTACGAAGATTTTTTTTTTTGGAATAGACGCGAATTGATTTTTTTTTTCTTCCTTGGAAAAAACAATCTAAGGTGACAAATAGTTTGGGTCTCCTAAAGAAAACGTGTTAATAACTAACCAGAGGTGCTTTTTTTTATTTTTATTGATATTTTTATTTTAGTTTATAAATATTTTAATTGGAATCAAAACGCGGAACAGATCTTGTTGGGTAATTATAAGATCTTTATCAACAACAAACGATTGACATTTTGCTTTTCGTAATCAATAATAATATAATTATAAATATTATAATCACCAGATGTCAAGGCAGCACATTGTTGAAAAAGAAACATTTCGATATGTGACGTTTGATTATCGAAAATTTACAGATGTTGAAGCACGCACGCTACCTTGAACACTTTACAGTCATTCTCACGTCTTCCTCGTGTACATAAGGCTAATCTGACCAAGATTTCCATGATGATGTGATGATGCAGTTGAATTCCAGGGGGACGCATGGCCCTGGAGCTACATCAAGACTGCACCAATCGTCAATGACATTTTCACTAATCTTCCCAGACCAGAGAAAACTGCTGGCATGCTGATCAAAAAGTTGCCTGCAACGATCCTACCTCTGGGTAAAGATGGCTCTGTGACCAAGTCGCAACTCTGGATGAATATTAAGAGAATCTGCAGCTTGTTCAAGCACAGGAAGTTACAATTCAGAGCAGGGTTTGTGGCCCTGAAATTGCATTTGGACTCTGATGTTAAGAGGAAAGTTGTAAAATAATGTTTGTTTTGTATAGTCATTTTCATAAATGCTCTGTTTCTCTGATACTAACCAATTTATAATTTTGGGTAGGGGTTTTTGCCCAATCAGTCCCCTGTCCTGTAGGTTTAAATTATCACATGATTATATACATCTTTGTCAGCAATATGGCCAACAAGAAAAAGTCATAAAATGGTTCGATTTTGGTATGTTATAAATTAATCATTCCCAAATTTTCTGTTTCTCTTTAATTTTTGTTGACCAACTAAATTTGTTGTTTTTTTAAATGGAAACTTTTGCCCATATAACCTCCCACCCTAGGTTAAAGGATTGTAGCTCAATGAGAGCATGTATCTTACAAGTATAAAGGTGGCAGTTCGATTCTGCCCACTCTTATTGTGATAGTCACCATGATCACTGGCATCGAGGAGAAAGCTGTAAAGTAAAATGTTTCGGATTTTGTTTGGTATGTTATAAATTAATCATTTCCCCAAATTTTCTGCTTCTCTTTAATTTTTATTTGACCAACTGAATTTGTTATTTAAATAGGGGTAGGGTGTGATTTTGGGTAAGCCTATATTTTTTCAAAGACGTGTCTTTTTTTGTTTATTATTTTTCTAGGCACCACAGAAACTTTAAATTTTGCATGACAGCTTTAGCTACAATTTGATATAAATTATTTATATTTTATTATGTGCGTTTTAATCAATTGTTTTATGATGGCATAACTTTTCTCCAGCGAGTGTACACATTTTACTTCAAGAAGATTTGAATCAAAAAAAGCATTTACCAAACCTATGCTAAATGACATTGAATGGATGGACATTTAAAACCTCTTGCAATAAAACAGTACATATTAATCACTTTACCTAGATGTAAATTTGTAATTTATTCACAATATATCAAATTCATTGTCAATAAATTCCTTTAAGAGCTTTCACCATTTTTTATATATTTTGTTTCAATTCATCACTCCATTTTTGGCAGCTTCGTCAGCTCTAATGATGACATAATTAATAAACAAAAACAATTTTTCTATATTATGGGTTGGATTGTTTTTTGTTTGATATCCAATTTAATTGCCAAAAATAATCAAAACAAAAAGAATAAATGATTCTTGAAATATAAGATATTTCAGAGAAATTGATTCTTTATTCTAGAATATTTAAACTAGATATTAATATTTTTAAAAAAAAAACCATTTAAAGAAAAAAAATAAATTTAAAATAGTACGTTTACATACTTTATAAAATAGTTATAATTTCTATAGAAAAGATCTTTAAAAACAAGTTCGAACAAACAAATCGTCAAGTTTTCTTTTTCCTTTTATTTAAAAATACAAAAAAAAATGAAGTATTACTTGATCTAATTCAAGTCTTCAAGATCCAATCCATCAACTAAATGTTTTTGTTTAGATGATTTACTAGATTTCCTAGTTTCATAGGTTGTTGTAATAACTTTTTGCTTGGAAACTTTTTGTCCAGTATATTCAAGATACTCGTCATAACTGATAACATATTTTGCACTTTGATACCGTGTCAGAATAATCCGATTACGAACTTTTTCTGTAATTCGGCCACTATACCCACCTTTACGAAGTAATTCATCAATTGTTTCTTCTTTTGTCCAACCTAATAAAAATAAAATTAGATTTTTTTCCTCGATATAAATATAATAATTTTTCTCCAAAAACAATCAATATTTACCTTGCTCTTTTGCAACTTCAGGTAAATAAGTTGCAGTTTTACGACGGTTATTATCATCATAAAATTCAATCCAAATGCCATGTATGCCAACCTGTACAGAAAGAATTATATAACCGTTTTTTTTTTTAAAAAAACAAATTAATAATCATTGATAATCTTTACCTCCCAGTCAAGATAATTGTCTGCATCTTCAAAGTTTGTCAATAAAGATATCCTGTGATGATTTTTAAAATTGAGCCATCAATTAATTTCTTGGTTAATTTAATTAATCGAATATTTTATCTATTATTACCCGCAAGTTAAATGAGATAACTCTTTTATACTTATTGGTGGAAATCTTCTATCATGAATAGCGCTAAATAAATAAATGAATTATTGAATAACATAAGTTTTTAAAAAAATGTCAATGGAAGAACAAATTGTATTATTACCTAGTAATGGCGTATTCTTTTAGTCCAGAATGAAGAGGTAAAGGATCAAAGTTACCAATGCAACCTCTAAGGCGAGAATGTCCATGATGAGTAGTATTCCATGTAACAAAAAGTGGACTTTAACAAGTAAAAATTTTTTTTAGATAAAAACACTTTTTGATACATTCACTGCTAACAAATTTTATTTATTTTTTTCTTTTGTTGCAAACAATATACACTAAAGAAATTGTAATAACAAGCTTACTAATGGTCATCTTTAAATTTAGGATCTAATGGTTTTCTTCCTTCGAGGTGAGCAATAAGAACATCAAAGCAATAAATACAGTGCTCAATATTGACAACCATTTTGTTTTATTTTATTTTTTTATTTTAAGGACCAAGAATAAAAGTTACCACCAACAAGGTTTTTGTTATTGTTATTATTATTATTATTATTTTATAAAATTGTCATCGGATGGATAAGGAAGGAAGGGATTGATTCTTAAAAAAAAAAAAAAATGTCACAAGTACATTGAGTACATTGAATTAACCGGAATAATTTTCCCGAATCGATGTTGAGGTGTCACTATTACTATATGTATTAGTATATTAATTAGTACGTGTCCCCCTTCCCTCGCCGGCCACTAGGTAAGCAAAGCAAACTTGTAAAAAAAAATTTTTTTAATGCTTTTATTTTTTGTAATGGAACATAAACCAACATTGAAAACCACAATCTCTATTTCCATTGAAGTTACATACTTTGCAATTATTTTTTGAATTTTGTCATATCCAAGCTTTTCTTTTCTTATTATTTTATTTTTTCTCATTGGAATGTTTTTGTTGCTTGATTTGTAATATTGAATACCACCTTGTAATTTAAAAACTTTCTATCATTAAAATCAAATCAAATACTATCTGAGGTGTACAAGCACCTGGATCATTAGGACATTTGGCACTAAACAACTTTGTTTCATTATCCATCTTTTGGAAGTTTCCTATTGCTGATAAATTTCCTTTGTTCTTTCAGGTCGAAATGGCACATCTTGTTTCAGTGTGTTAAAACAGATGATTAAATATCAACACCAGCATATTGGATTTTAAAATATCTTCCACCTTTAATTAATTCTACATAAAAGATAATTTCCCCAATTCTTTTTATAAAATTATCTGCATCAAGTGGAAATAAACTTCACCAAACTTCTTATTCATGCACATTGAAAATTAATGTTCGCATTTGAATTATTGAGGGCATATCAATATATTCTTGACATCTTTCGAGATCCTTAATTTTCTTAATTTTATCCAATTCACCACTTTCTTCCATTCTTAATTGGGGCATACCGCAACAAAACCAGACAAAGTGAACATTGGTATTACCAAGATCAAAATTTAGTTACAGTCAAACCTCGTTTCAACGGATCTATGGGACTGACCACCTAAATCCGTTGAAATGAGATAATGATATACAGGATCAACAGGAAAATTTTAATAATAATAAATTTTTTTTGTGATTTAAATATAATAATAATACTTAATACAATACTTGATATAATTTACAAAAATTTAAATGCTAATTAATAGTCAATTATTTACTGAAAAAACTAGTAATGTTTGTTTGTATTGAATTTTGAATACTATATGATTTTTTTTTTTTTTTTCAATGATTTTAAAGCTTTTAATTCATTATAATCTGCTTGTATATTATTTTGTTCAAGAAAATTAAAAG